AACGCTAGGACTATAACAGAGTTTAAAAGAGAACTGGATAAATTCATGGTGGTTAAGTCCATTAATGGCTATTAGCCAGGATGGGTAAGGAATGGTGTCCCTAGCCTCTGTCTGTCAGAGGATGGAGATGGATGGCAGGAGAGAGATCGCTTGATCATTTCCTGTTAGGTTCACTCCCTCTGGGGCACCTGGCATTGGCCACTGTAGGTAGACAGGATACTGGGCTAGATGGACCTTTGGTCTGACCCGGTACGGCCTTTCTTATGTTCTTATGTTCACTGTGTGTGATTCCCTCCAGCTGATGGGATGGGCCAGGGAACTCATGATCAGCTGCCAATTAGCAAAAGCACTTGGAAAGTCCTCGAGCCAAAGGTTAAGTGCAAGGTGAGAAGATCAGGGTCAGACTTCCTATGCTGACACAGGTGTGCTATGGGGGCCTTCCCCTTTAGTGAGCCCATCTGTGGGCCTGGCAGAACTGCAATTCCACATTTGGAGGCATGGCGAGGCTGCTATGGTCCAGATCCTCAAAGGTATTTAGGCTCCTAACTCCTCCTTTGAGGATCTGGCCTGTGTCCTTAACCCTATCCTGCCAAGGGCACATGGTCCCCCAATGGGGCTGGGGGGGAGGCAGGGTTAGGGCTCAGCCTTCACCCACCTGCAGAGCTGGCTGCTTGTGTGGGGAAGCTCTGTGGTGGGAGCTGCTGGAGGCCCTGTGCTTCCCTCCAGCACCTCCCGAGTGGCCCCTTCCCATGGTGCAGCTGAGCCTGTCTGCTGGTGGAGGAAGCGAGGGGCTGGTTCCAGGACCCCAGCAGAATCCGTGCAATCAGGGCAGCAGTGCAGAGTGTCCTGGGGTTGAGTGGCATGGTGCTGAGCTTTGCTCAGAGCAAGGGCAAGCACAGAGGTGATGGAAAGCCTGGCATTGCTGCAAGCACTTGTGAGTGGTGGTTTGGGGCTGGACAGGCGTACCCAGGGGGTCCAACTACCTCTGTAATGTAGACCAGACCATAGGCAGTTGTGTTAAGGTACTACTGCTTTGTGAAAACCGGACTCCCTGCTCCACCTCTGCCCCGTTGCCTGCTCAGCCTCTGCCCTTGAGGCCCCACTCCCACTTGCTCATCTTCCCCCCCCTTCCCCTCCCTGGATCCTCTTCCCCCCACTCCCCCATTGCTGAGCTCCCTCTGCTCCAGGGCTGGGATGGGAGCTGCAGCCTGACATGGAGGCTGCCTGCAGGTAGGAGGTAGCCCCGGCTGAGCAGGGTTGGGGCGGGTTGATGACCCAACACCATCCCCCACCTTCTGGGGTCCGGGCCCTTTTATGACTGTGGTGCCCTTCAAAATATCTGGGGGGTGGGAGAGGCTGGACGGGGCTGGTTGGGTTCCTGGTGTGAGTCAGAGCTGCCGGAGGGCTGTTCCAGCTGGTGGGCCTGGCCAGAGCATAGAGACACCCCAGTGCTTTCCCTGCCCTGGGGGATCTGAGGGGGAGGGGTGGTGCAGGGCCACAGCACCAGCTCTCCACTACCCAGGGTCCCCCCCTACTCTGGAAGAGCTCCCACCTGGGCATCAGGTCTCCAGCCCCTGTGCATGGGGGAGCAGCACAGGCTCTGCAGAGAGTGTGGCCCTTTGAAATCAGTGGGGTTAGTTGTGCAGTGAGGCAGCAGAACAAGCTGCAATTAATTAACCCTCAAAACACCCCCACTGAATTGAAAGCACAGAGCAGTGAAATGACTTGCCCAGTGTCATATGGGGGGTTGGCAGAGCCAGGAATAGTTCTCGGGATCTGCTGGTCCCATATTCTGACCATCTCAGCTGGGCAAAGGGAGGGCTGTGCTGTCCCTCACCATCCTTTTCTTTTTTTCCCAGGGATGAAACCCACAAGAGGGGACCGTAGCTACACACAGCACATGGATCCTTCGGATTTCTTGGCATTCACAGCACTGCCAAACCCACCCGGTCCCAGCCCCAGCCTGGCCTGCAGCCCTGTCTACACACAGATCTGAGTTTGTTGCTCAGCTGCTTTGCTCTTAAAAGGGGGCACTCCTTGCCTCACTTCCCTGCACATCCCTGACAGCCAGGGCAAGGGCAGCGGGGCTCCGGTATCCTGAGGCTGTGTGACCCAGGCACTCTGCTTTATACCTATATATGGAGAGAATTACAGTACTTGACATGGGGATTTCTATGGGTGTTTGCCGTGTTTACTCTAGTATCTTGGCATAAATTAATTTGTTCTAATATCCTGGCACAAAGGCATGTGCATTAGCTTTTGAGTCCCTCCAGGAACCTTCGAGTACCGTCTTGGGCAAAGCAGCTCATTAAAAGCTACTGATTGTTGGAGTCAATTATGACATTAACTTGTCAAGGTAAATTGGCTCTTTTCCTGCCTTCTTTTTCCATTGTTAAGAGGTTGTCATGCTGGCAGCCCTGGAAATTGGAGTTATTTGTCCTCCAAAGAGGTACAATATGGGCACTAATGGAGGAGGGACTTGCCGCCTCTAAGGGTGAGGAAGAGTTTATTTGCCATGGTCCGTTCAATTTCTTGGTGTCGGTGCTGAGATTTCTAAGCCAGGTGGGAGTGGGCTCTTGTGATGTGGACATCTGTCCTTCTGGACTAGCAACACCCACACATTGCATGTTGGCCACCAGGCCCCCATCAGACAGCGATGACGCTAGAGCCCAACCCTGCAAAATTCAGCGCTCTCAAATCTGGAGCCCAGGACACACAGAATATACCAGGAGATGCTCAGCACCACACAGAATTGGATCCTGAATCACCGCTAGCTCAGAATTAACCCACTGGGCCTGATTCTCCCTTGCCTTGGAATTTGTGCAGCCGTGACCCTGACACAGCGTGAGTGCGGGATGTGCAGTGTGACCCCTGTGGTCCGAGTGAGTGGAGAATACTGACCATTTTACACCCACTTGGCACAGGGGTGTGTAGTATGTGAGTTGTGAGGCAATCAGGTCTGTTGATCTTTGTGCTGATCCTGATGGCAAATCCTGGTGAAATGAGCATGCCGGGCCACATTCCCAGTGCTCTGTGCTGGCCCCAGGGCCCGTGGCACACTATCCCTACCAGCGGGAGGAGAGAGGAAATATCTTGTTTGATGATTGCATCCTGTGTTTCTAGAGGGCTTGCTATCTATGACAATCCAGATGTTTCCTGTCTCCCCACAGCTGGGAGCAGCTATTTGCTGACTGGCTGGAAGTACTTCCTAATCCTAATGTGTCGGTGGGGATTTCCCTATGGAATCTGAGGGAAATTAACTTCCAGGCAGATTCTCTTCCCAAAGCCCTGATGACCATTTCCCCCTCTCCCTGAGGATGAGTGCCGTGTGAAGGTCATGTAGCCCAGCACCTCTGGGCGGGGGTGGAGCCTGGGGCCTCTAGTTTTGAAAGCACAAACCTCTACTGTCTGAGCTGCAAGATCCAGTTCCATTAGGAGAGGCTGTAGCCAGCTGATCAACCTGTCTGTGACCCAGCCGCCACTAGCAGGGACAGAGTGCCGCACTGAGTGGGTCCCAGTTATTAAGCTGTGAGGGCCCCACGGGTTCACATCCAGTGGATTCAGAATGCTTGGATATGATCAAATCAGCTTTGCTGGGATGCTGGCACCTCCAATGCCAGTGTGGCTGGAGGCTTCCTGGTTTGTGAATGAGCCATTTCCTGTGAGCGGATGCTACCCTAGGCCATGACCCCTTGCATTTCATTCGGTGCCTGACCTCAGGTCTAGCTGGTTTAGTAAAAAGAAGAACAGGAGTACTTGTGGCACCTTAGAGACTAACAAATTTATTAGAGCATAAGCTTTCGTGGACTACAGCCCACTTCTTAGTAAGGAGTTTGGACACCAGAGCGACAAAAGGATCCAGAATTTATAAACAAAAAGGCAAGAGGTGTGGGCCTAGATTTACTGAACCTGGCACAGGAGGTAGAGAGCAGCCAAGTGAGGCACTGACCATTAGATGCTACCAGAGGAGCCATAACAGACACCTCCAAGGCTTTACCCGCTTCTCCTCTTCCTTACACCGGTAAAAGAAGTGGTTCTTGTAGTGCAAAGGGGTGGTAAAGGTGCCCAAACCAAGCAGCTGAAGATTGCCCCAGTGGCATGTCAGAGGGTGTGGCTAGGGGCCAGAGGGCTGCTCTGCTCCAGTGATTCCTGGCAGGTGGAAAGGCCCTGTGGGCGCTGTTACTAGCCTGCATAAATTAGTGCAGCCCCAAGAGATGCCCCCTATAACTCAAATTCATGCCCATCAGACTTGTATGCTGCAGCTCGCAGTCTGTGTGTGTACGTCCGAATGTTAGGCATGGCACTGTGCTGCTCTGGTACACTGGCTGTGTGCCTGCCTCACATATTCACATGGACCAGGGGGCGGCTGTGCTGCTCTCCTGACCTAAGCAGCTTGCCACCTGCAGCCAGGAGGGACAGCGTGGGGAGGTCAAGAGGACAACTGGCATCTCTGGGTGCTCTGTACCTGCAGCGACCTCAGGGGCTCTGTGCAGGGCCAGCTCCAGGCACCAGCTTACCAAGCAGGTGCTTGGGGCGGCCACTTCAGAGAGGGGTGGCACGTCCAGCTGTTCGGCGGCAATTCGGCGGACGGTCCCTCACTCCTGCTCAGAGTGAAGGACTTCCCGCCAAATTGCCACCACAGATCACGATCGCGGCTTTTTGTTTTGTTTGTTTGGCTGCCTGGAGCCGGCCCTGGCTCTGTGGCAAGAAGAGCTGAGGGATTTCTTGAAATAAATATTTAGAATGACTTAGAAAAGACGACATTAAATTATGACTACGGTTGCTTATCGTACCCCAAGCCCAGTGCTTTAAAATGAAGGGAATTAAAAGTTAAGGTTCTTCATAACTCATCATTTGAAAAACACAATCTGTACATTTCTCTCCCCCCCGCACCCCCTAAGGATTCCAAGAAGTGAAATAAGGCGATCTAGGGTAAAACATTTAAAAATGCCTCAGTGACTTAGGAACCTATGTCCCATTTTCAAATGTGTCTTAGCACTTGGGGACAGATTTTCAAAGGTATTTAGGAATCTAAAGATGTAGCTAGGGGCCTAGTGGTGCTGTCAAAAGCAACTAGGAACCTAAGTCCTGTTGAATTAGGTGTCTAAATACTTTTGAAGAGCTGCACCTTAGGCACTCTTGAAAATTTTATCCATAATCACATTTATCCACTAAAAATGTAATTCATGCCTCAGGCTGCTAAAACTGTCATATACAGCCTTAAGTACCACTACACTAACAGATAAAGGGAATTGTTTTATCTGTAAAGTTACACAAACAAGCTGTGTTTGCTATAGGGAAAAAATGCATTCATTTACAATATCTGGTGTATTGTTTGTTGGAAAGAACCTTACCTAGTCAATGTAGTTGTTTATGGTCTTACATTTTTTAAACACATTCACGTTTCTTAAACTTTGACATTAATTTGATTTAAAAAAAAACTAATTATTAAATATGTGGTTGTGTGTTACTGTAACCCACACACCTCCTGGGTGTGGTGTTCTGTTCCCAAGGGAGGGAGAGTGTGATTATGAGTCTGCTCTACAGCCTTAGCTAACAGCCATATGGCTTTTAGCTCATGTGGTAGAGGCTCACGTACTAAGCTCCACAGGCCCCAGGTTTGATCCCACCCACTAACAACCGGGGGTCTGTCAGTGTTACAAGTGGGGGCTCCTCCAGGATTTCAACTGGGAAGTCTCTGAAACTCTGGATGCGCTTCCTCAGCTAGGGGAAATATGTAACCCACACACTTCCTAGGTGTGGTGTTCTGTCCCATCGAGTGGCACTGAGACGTCGTCACTACCCGCCCGGATTGGCGGTAGAAAATCGATCTCTTGGGGATCGATTTATCGCGTCTCGTCGGGACGCGATAATCGATCCCCGAATCGACGCGCGTACTCCACCAGCCCAGGTAAGAGTAAGCGCTGTCGACGGGAGAGCCGCGGCGGTCGATTTGCCGCCATCCTCACAGCGGGGTAAGTCGGATCAGATATGTCGAATTCAGCTACGCTAGTCCCATAGCTGAATTTGCGTATCTGAAATCGATTCCCCCCGTAGTGTAGACGTAGCCTTAGAGAGATTGAGTCTGCTCTACAGCCTTAGCTAGCAGCCATAGAGCTTTTAGCTCATACAGTAGAGGCTCATGCACTAAGCTCCAGAGGCCCCAGGTTCGATCCTGCTCACCGATGATCAGGGTCCATCGGCGTTACACTAGTAAGAAATTTAAGTGAATGTCAATGGACTTCATTTCATCCATTTATTTTATTGTGTAGGCTGTGGTATGTAAAATAAGTGGTCATAATTAAGACCGCATAGGACAATTTAACATCATAGTAACGTCATTAATTACATTTTTAATAGAAAAATGTGATTGTCATAACTCTTTGGAATCCTTTTTGGAAAAAAGGTACATTTTCCCAATGAATAGTTATGAAAACCTTTAACTTTTAATTTCCTTCATTTTTAAAGCATTGAGTTTGGGGTGTTATAAGCAAACTTACCAGTAATTTCACATAGTTTCTTGTAAATCATGTTTCGTATTTTCATTCATGTTGATCTTTTCATTCAAAGTAATTTTTTGGTCTACAATCAGATTGGAGGAAATAGACCATACAAGTTTCTTGAAAGTTGCCCCTATTCTTTGATAGATTTTTGTAAAGGGGATATGTAAACATTTTTAAATTCTGCAGCACTGGTCATCATATGTACACTTGTTCATTCTGTGGTTATACTTCAGAGACTATCAATTGCTTGAGATATGTTTTATTTCTATCTGTCACACTTATAAGGACCCATTACAGAAGTATCTGAGGACTTCACAATCTGAAATTTGCTCATTGTTTTCCTTTACTCATTTGAACTCCAAGGGAAACATGCTTGCATTAAATAAATATGGAAAATATTAATAACTTCTATGCAACATCATATAACTTCTGTATTATATATATATAATGTTATTAAATGAAAACACTTACTTTACCTTCAGTGGACTCTCACTGATCCTCTGCTGATGTGTGTCCTTTTTCAAAATATATCTTTTTAGGTCAGACTGTGGTGCCTCGTGGGAGTTGTAGTTTGATGGCTTTATGCCCTCATTCTCTCTTACAGGCACCTGGACTACATTTCTCATGATGCATTGCAGTCTCCCTCTGACTCAGCCCTGTGGTGCATCATGGAAGATGTAGTCCAGCCACTGAGTCCCGCCTGAAGTATCTGAACTACAACTCCCAAGAGGTACCGTGGCACCTGAGACATATGCAGTTTAATAGTGAACGGATTCAAAAACAAATATTTTAATGTTTCCAAATTGAAACGTATTAGAACTTTCCATTCTGTGCTGAAGTCAATATTTTGACTTTTTGTCCCAATTCAGGATGAAAACAGACCAAGAAATGTCAGACTTTTTTTCTCATGGGATGCAGATTCCAACATTTTCTCAGCTCTAGTTCCCAGCTAAGCTGCCTGCCCATAGTTTATAGAATGAAGTGAATGCCCTTGAGTCTCCAACCTTCCCTTCCCCTCCCGCATCTATCCAGCAGAGCCGAAACCCCTCCGCAGCTCCAGCAGGATTTCCTCCTTCACTAGGGAAATGAGGTTGGCAAGCAGTCCCCTCTGCAACTGCAGAATCATTGGCCTGGGGACCATGGTGCTGTGAATCTCTTGACAGTGTTTTGTCTTCCCTCGGGGTCACCATATGGAATTAATTCAGAGGAGGCATGTTCAGAGCAGAGGATGGGGAGGTGGCTCTCTTCCAAAAGCCACTGCTCTATCTAGGTTTGTCAAAGAGACATTAGGGGAGAGCAGGCACCTGGCAGCCTGCTGGGAAGAGGTGCCTGGGTTCAGCTGATGTTTCAGTGAAATTGCTTAAGAACAGCTCAGCCGTGGGAGAGTCTGATCCCGGCCAAGTTGCCGAGGCCTGGGTAGACATGCTGCAGAAGTGCTGGTAATGTGAGCCCCAAGTGCTGTAAGCTGCTTTCCCTGGCACGACTGTTCTCTCTCTGATTTCAGAGTCTGGGAATGGGGGGTGGGAGGGGGGGCTCACGCTCAGCAGAGCCAGTTCCCCCTTCTCCTCCCTTTTTTCAGTGCAAAGGTGGCTCAGAGCTAGAACCCGGAGAGTGTGAAATCAGCCTATGCCTCCATCATCCTCAATCCTACCTAACCAAGCAAAGAGCAGTGGACGCTGGCTAGTTACTGAGCTGGCTCACAGCACCTTGGTATCCGAGCGCTTCCCCAGTGGTTCTAAAGAGACAAACAGTGTCGAGAAACTCTCTCTTCCTCCCCCAATTTGTGGGAGGAAAGTAGGATAGTGGATTGTTTCCTTACGTCTTGTTTCTCTCTGTCTCTTCTTGTCACAAATGCTGAAGGATCATTAGAAACAGCTACATTGTGGCGCACGATCAAGCTGTCTGAATCTCGTGCAACAACACATTTATTTGGTAAGGTTCACCCTGCTTCCTGCTGGGGAATTGTCTGAACACGTGCCAAGAGTGCCATATTGCTGTGCTATTCAAGGGGGCTGAATGGATTTGGGGAGAACAAATAGTCCCCGAGTTGTGTCGGAGCCAGGGATGCAGGAAAGGAGAACAAAGGAGGGAACCAGACTGTTTCCAACTGGGGCTAAGTTTTGGGTGATGGTTCCATTCCCACGGGTTTGCCCAGCCCCAGGTCTCACTGATCGGCCTTTGGCATGTGAGAAAGGAAGGATGTTAGGGGTTAGGTTTGGGCTACCTGGGGTCAATCAATTCCCTGCTCCACCGCAGATTTCTGTGTGACCCTGGGTAAGTCACTTAGCCACTGAGCCTCAGTTTCCCCATATGTACAGTGGGGATAACCACACTGCCCTGCCTTGCAGGGGTGTGTGAGGATAAATACATTAAAGGTTGTGAGGTGCTCAGATACTCCAGCACCAGCGACCTTAGAGTTACTTAGGAGAGGTAGAAAGCCACATCCAGCAGAGACAGGCGGAGCTAGCCCAGCTGCTGTTGACAAATCAGTTTCCCAGTGGCTGGTCTGAGCTCTGGTGGGTACAAGACAGAGGCTCCTGGAGTCTGGCCACGGTCAGCACGCTGAGTGTACATGAGGTGCTGAGCTCCAGCCATACAGGGCACACAGTTGGAGCTGAGCTCTTTTAAAAATCTGGCCCTGCTTGCGGGTGCTCACTGAGCACTTGTAAAACATGTCCCTGAGTAATTGTGCCAGTCTGGCCCCAGAGGCTGAGCGGTTCAGTGCGCTCCTGCGTCCAGCCAGCAAGTGGCAGACGGCCTGCGGTTGCCCTTTGTCGTCTTCCCCATTTTGATGCCCAGGTTAGACTGGATGCGCGGAGCTCCGGGATGGGGCTGCTGTTCTCTCCTCTGTCCCTGCCAATGCCATGATGACAGGCCCGGCAGCCGTCCTCACCACCCTGTTACACTAAGTCACGGAACATCCCGTGTTCAGTGCTTGGTCTTGTCAGTGATCTAAATACTGAGAACATGCTGCCACCCAGGTGTCTCTTCCCTTTGCTTGATCCCGCCATGTTTACAGGCAGGTGAATCCCAGCAGCTCTGGCTCATGGACATC